TTTAAATTCACGTTTCATCACAACTTTTATCAATGGTTCGACTATTTTTTTCAAACTTCGGTTTATGGAAATAAACAAATCGATAGAGTTGGATATTGAGGTAAAATTAGAGAAGGGTGAGGTCGTTGAAAAGAAAAAATATGAAGGTTGCATTAGGTGTTTGGATTTGCAACCTAAAGTTAAGAATTTGAAAAAGAAATGTACAACGTCGAAATCAGAAGAGAAGAAAAGTGCTCTTCAATTTCTCGAAAGTAAGCCTAGTTTCTCCACAATTTAATAAAGTTGGCGTCAAGGACGAAGTGACTCCTTATTTGAAAGCACGTTGACGATGACTACAAAAGATAATATTAAAGCAACGAAACCAGTTTGAAGTTCCACTTTGCAAGAGATGAAACTACCATAATATGAAAACAACTACCTAATTCCAAGAAGAAACTACTAGAAGTAGTTCTACTGAAACAAATTGCTTCTGTACAGAAATGAAATTCCCTACTTGAAAGCATGTTATGGAGGACTACAACATTTAGTATTAACGGAAAGAAAGCAGTTTGAAGTAATATCAAGCTGACACCTAGTTCACAAGTATGTCATCCCATATAAGCAGTGCAAAAAATGAAGGCAACGCATTAAATATAGAAATTTTCACTTTGCAAGAGATAAAACTACGACAGTAGTACTATCTCAAGCATTTCAAACCTAGGTTACATATATTACTACCTATGCTTTACGGAAACACCATATATAATGTCAACGCATGTTTCCTTTTGCATTTCATTTGATCACACCATTTATAGTTTTGCTTAACGCAATTTTTGTAACTATCTATGATGGACAAATATATCACAAATAATATGAAAGATATATTCTTTCACTATATTTATTATGTTCTCTTTTTAGTTTTTACTGACGAGATTTGCAATTTAATTGAGTGCTTCGATTTTATATTTATACAACATAATTTTAAGCCTTCAATTCCAGTCTGTACAAAGGATAACTGTACCGAAGACTTAGCATTATTAGACCTCCAACAAATAGGTTTTTCATGGTTTAACTTAGTAGCAGAACATTTCCTATGCAACCAAAGGATAAGCCATTACAAACCTACTTATATAGCCAGCAAAACATCTTCAAGGCTTCTTATATATGCATGTGCGAACATGCATTTATACGTGCTTTGTTGTGGGCGTATAGTGCACTTCATGATATGGAAAAAGGTAATATAAGTAGCAGCAAGTGAAACTAACAAGAATAATTCAAATTAATATGGGATCACCTATGTGAATTCTTTAAAGTCAACTATTGGCTATTGCTACATCTAATGGAAAATCCAATTAAGTTTCAACCAGTCATGTTAGTTTTCGTATGTTCCTTCATCACTCTTAAAAATATATAGAAGCCTCTTTGGGGGAGCATCAAAAGGATATAAATTAGGAGAACTATATTGTGAAGCTTACACAGGATTAGAGCAATTGACGGATTTTTCTTTTGTTGTCAACAGCTTGTGAATAATAATGTCAATTTGATGAACAAAACTGGAAAATTAATGATGCAATGGAAGATTACAAATGATGCTAAAATAAAGAATTCCAAATCTTTCATTTTTAATGATGAATATCTTATCACTTAATAATGCATATCCACAATATAGATTATATGAAAAAAATTTAAATTGTAAATCTCTTGTAACAAAATAATGATCAATGACAATGTCAGAACCTTAATCGCTCAGATACGCACAATCACTCCTCATTACATACATTTTCCTTAAAGAGGAAAGAAAATCCTAGCACCAGATAATTTTCTATATATCTTTGTGAAAACTTTGTCAATAAGTTTAAGTAATATATCAAGCCAAAATTATAAAAAACAATTAAAGAATCTGGCTGTAGGCGCTGAGATCTCGCTTTTTGCTATTCTTAAGCCTTCTTTCTAAAAGATGTTCGAAAAAGCCACTTCTCTCTCTTATATAATGGCCAATGTAGCAACGAAGACATCATAGGTCATTTGAGTTTTATTATTGTTTGATATCATACTTGCGCATTTGAGAGGTGACTAGCTGATTCCATCAAAAGGTACTCACAGGACAACAAAGGTATGTTGATACGTAGTACTAGTACAATGGATAAAAGAATAGCTCTTTTCCTTTATTACTACTGTTTAACACTGTCTAGGACTCCTAACCAGTTACACTTTGATATGCTTTAGTGAACTTCTAACATTTTATCAAGGATCCAATTTTTGCCAAGGATCAAATTGGCTAAAATGGTGTTAGTATTTTCCAGGATAAATGACAAGCAAGAACATCTTGACTTTGGGACAGACATTCTCCGTGCTTATTGTGGATGATGATAAAATTATTCGAAGAATTCATAAGGTGCTTTTGAATAAATTTGGATGTGAAAGTCATGCGGTTGAAAATGGAAAAGAAGCAGTTGATCTTTATGTCTCTGGAAAACATTTCGATCTTATTCTTATGGATAAGGAAATGCCAGTCATGGATGGACCTAAGGTTCGATCAAATTTTGAAGCTTAAATTTGAGAATGCATATATCCAAAATATTTAAAATTGCAAAATATTTTATAGGTAAAATCTCCACTGAGAGAAATCTGAAGCCTAACTTTCACTAAAAATCTTCCTTCGCCCATCGTCATTTTAAAAACAACTCCTACTACACTGGCACAACAATGTTATTTTATGTTTTTAAATATACTATTATTATCATCTCCCTCCACTGAATTTTGAAATACATTCATATTAATATCTTCAAATAAATGCTATTCCACATAAGGTAATCATTTACATGCAACAGTAACTCATTAATTCATCTTTATTGTTGAAAAGTAGTTTTCACTATTCTTTGTTTAATAGGCAACACGAGAGCTTCGAGCCATGGGTGTCAACAACATGATTGTAGGAGTGACCTCACGGGGGTTGGACTCAGAGAAACAAGCATTCACAGAAGCTGGTCTTGATTACTGTGTCCAGAAACCACTAACCTCCGAAACAATCACCTCTCTGCTACAAGAGCTAGTCAAGAAATACAAAATCTAATAAAAATAGAGAATGATGTGTCAAATA